TCGGGTCCAGTGACCCTTCCTCAGAACTGCTGAGCTTTTCCAGCAACCTTGCTTTTGTTCCTGATTTACAGCATCTGCGGTTCTTTCAATTTTTACTCCCTTTTTTTAATGCTGGATTTCTAGCATCTGCAGTATTTTCCTGTTTCAGAATCTATCAACTCATTGGGTACTCAGTAAAACTATAGAAATAGTTATTTTACTTTGCACATTTTCTTTTTTTTAAAAAATTCTTTGATTAGTTCTGTCCCTTTGAAAACAAATTAGGTGTTGAATGCTAAAATCAAGAGCAGACAATGCTGGAAACATTCAAAACAAAGCACTGAAATACTCAGAATCTGGCAGCATCCATCGAGACGGAAAGAGAGAGAATTGACATGTTCGGTCATTGATCTTAAATCAGATCATACTTGCTGTTGAGTAGATTGGGCTAACATCCTACAGTTTAGAAGAATGAGGGGCGATCTCACAAATACAAAATCCAGAGAGCGCTTAGAGGCTGATATCCATTGATTTTCTAAAATATGTGCTGCTCATGGGCTCAGAGCGAGGGGTCAGCCACATCGGAGATAAAAGAGAAATTCCTTCACCTATTGGTGGTGAAGCTTTAGAATTCTCAATCCAGTGAGCTATGAACGCTGTGGAGATTACAGCTTTTTAAGACACCAAATAAATCAAGGTTATGACAGACAGCCAGGCAAGTGGAGGTAAGGCACAACAAGATCAACCATAATTTTACTGAATAGCTGAGCAGGCTAGAGGGGCTGAATGGCTTAGACCACGGGGAAGCAATGGTCTAGTGGTATTATCACTGCACTGTTAATCCAGAAACCCAGGTAACGTTCGAGGGACCTGGGTTCGAATCCCACCATGGCTGCTGGTGGAATTTGAATTCAATAAAAATTGGGAATGTAAAGAGTCCAATGATGACCATTAATCAATTGCCACTTGTTGGGAAAAACCCGTCTTGTTCACTATGTCTTTTAGGGAAGGAAAATGCCATCCTGACCTGGTCTGGACTACATCTGACTCCAGACCCACAGCAGTGTGGTTGACTCATAACAGCACCCTGGGCAATTACAGATGGGCAATAAATGCTGGCTTAGCCAGCAATGCCCTCATCCTGTGAATGAAAAAAAGAAAAAAACCTGCTCTTCGTTCTTATGTTGATACAGAAGAATGACTACAATCTCACTAAATTATGGAGCTGACTTGAGAGGCTATATGGTATTCTCCATCAAAGGTTTTACATTTCTACAGCCTGCATTTGCTACCCGACAGCAGGTCCAGATGGGCACCTGTTGGTACATGTTCCATCGTGAATGCAGCACTCACCTGCATGGTTTAGGCTCTCCAAGTAATCCTTCAGGACTAGAGCTTCAGTGCTTGGAGCCTTGTCAATGATCAGACTGCTTTTATCCTGCAGCGTCAGCAGCAACCGACTATATTGTTTCATCGAGGGGCTAATTTTCACCACTTTCACATTGTGGCTCAGCTAGATACAGAGACGGAAGGAAAAAGGGGATAAAGAAACTGATGTCAGAGAGTCAAGTCTCCCATCTTAGCTAAAGGCCAAACATAACCATAAATAGTGAAGCTTGTTTGAATGAGGATCGATGAAAACACCTCAGCACACTCCAGAACCTCCAGCACTCAGTCAACTTATTTTGAACAAAAACAAAAATTGCTGAAAAAGCTCAACAGGTCTAGCAGCATCCATGGAGAGAAATCAGACTTAACGTTTCGGGTTCAGTGACTCTTTTTCTGTACGTCCATGTAAGGGACAGTGGACCCGAAACGTTAACTCTGATTTCTCTCCACAGATGTTGCCAAACTCTTGAGATTTCCCGGCAATTTCTGTTTTTGTTTCAGATTTCCAGCATCTGCAGTTCTCTCGGTTTTTCAACTGACTTCAAAGTTTTATTTTAACCCCACAATTTGCATTATCCAATAAATTAAATTGGATGGTGTAAATAAAGCAAAAGTGAGAATTTAGTGTTTTCTTTTAATTAATGGGGGATTTGAATTAAGCAACTTCCATTTAAGGGTATACTGCTACAGAAGTTTTAGATGTTTCAGAATGCTATCAAGCTAAGGGAAAATACATAGCTAGAAGAGAATTATATTGAAGTTACAACACAGAAAGGGTCCCTGTTGGCCTTTATCCTCCACGTGCAGGTACAATTCCCCCTTAACTGTCACATTTCCAGGTCCCAGTTTTTTTAACTGCTTGCTGAAAATATTATGAATATTGCTGCAATGCTTCATTTCATTCATTAACTCGGGTAGAGCTTGCTGTCTCAATCCTCAAAAAAAACCAAAGATTCACATCCATGTTGCTTCTTCAATCTACAGCCAATCTGACAGACTGGAGCTATTGCTGGTACTGAGGTCATCGCCATCACTCCCCAAACAATCACCAGTGTGAAGTTATGTTTCCCCATGTATAATCCTGCTTCAATATGATGCCACACTGATGGTTCAGATTTGATTCCTCTTTTGCCTAAAAGAGAAATTATGTACAAGAAACTCCACTTGACTTTTTCCAAAACTCAAAAATCTCAAAGGGAGTTGCAGACAATTTAATCGTTGGTTCATTTATGGCCTCTTGTCTCCTATTTTCCATTGATTTAGGAGGTTTACATCACTTTCTCACGTTGCTCCAGGGAACATTCCTTCATTCCAAGCCAGGTCAGTCATGGCTGTCAATCAAAACTGATCATGTTCTGACCCATCATCCACAAAAGGGCAAATGTTCTGCAGGAGCCAGAGCCCAGGATGATAACGCTGCCATAGTTCAAAGCCACCAAAGGCATCTAGACCTATTCCTCAAACACCTATGTGTCCGCCGACCTTCTGCCTCCCAGTCCAGAAAGGTATAAAATTTCTCAGCCATTTTCAATTTCTGTTGCCCTCCTGCACCCCCAACTAGACCATGGTCTCATCTTTCTCAATCTTTAATCACTTGCAAGCAAGCAAGCCGATGTTTGTGCTTCGTCAATTCTGGACTCTTGTACACCCCAATCTCCTTCAGCCTAACTGCACTAGCCACATACAACGTCAATGCAGACCTGAGAGGCCTAATGGTCTCCCTTCTGTGCTGTACTATTCTAAGATTAGCCGACTGAGAAACAGCGGCCAAAGCTTAAGCTCAGGAATTTCCCTTCCTAAACCTCTCTCGCCACGTCACAAATGTGGGAAAACCGACATCTTTAAGAAAACTTTCAGTCACTTGACACAAATATTGCTTTATATGTGAAACTCTACCTGATGATGCTCCTGTGAAGCACGTGGCAGCATTTTACAAGGTTTGGTAGTAACTTTTCCAATGTAAGCTGTTGTTATTCCATGAGTTCAGAGGGCCATGGCCTGCGGAATGATGAGATACTGGGGCAACTACCAATTTAAAAAAAAATTTACCACTCAGTTACAGTGGGAAAGAGGACTTGCACACACAACCACACCGGGTAGGCCGGTCTGTCAGCTCTGTTCATTGATTCTATTAGATTACAGCTGACCTGTATCTCAACTCCATACACCTGCCTTGGCTCCATAATGCTGAATGAATTCAGCTATCAGAATTCTCATTACTTATTTTGTGAAAATGTGTTTTCCTGACAGTGGCATTGTGATAATATCACAGGGTTAGTGATCCAGAGGCCCAGACAAAAGGTCTGGGCGACATGGGTTTAAATCCCAACATGGCAGCTGGTGGAATATGTACTGAATGGCCAGAACCTATGAAATGATAACGGATTGTTGTAAAAATGCATGTGGTTCTCTAATGTCTCTTGGGAGAGAAATCCGCTGCCTTACCTGGTCTGGCCTACTTGCAACTCCAGACCCATTGCAAAGTGACTGAATCTTAACTGCCCTCTGAAATGAATTAGCAAGTCACTCAGTTTAAGGGCAATTAGGGATGAGACACAAATTGTGGCCTTGCCAGCAATACATACATACCAAGAAAGAATAAATTTAAAAGCTGAGCTCTAATTTCAAAGTCATTTTCCATCCCACCCTCGACCGAGGCTTGTTTCAATTTGCTGTACAGGACCACCAGAATTTTATCACCTTATTACCTGGAACGTTTTCGCAGGACCTCCAGAATTGAACAGCACAACCAGAGAAGCTTTGTTGTCTTTCTCAACAATTTCAAAACTGCCTTCCCTCCACTTGGTGGTGCCAGTCTGGATGCTGTTGATCCGAATCTGACCATGAATCTTCATGGATGCCATTGTGGAAAAGATTTATTAGGTTCTCAAACAGCTGTGAGCTCCACCATCAAATCTGAAATTAAAAAAATGCAAATCATTTTTAAATGGGATGGCTTTTTCTGCAGCTGTCAGCTCACCAAGAGAAAAATAAAGGGCACGTTCTGTTCTCAGGAGTGTAAAGCAGACCTGGTAGGGCAGTGACTGCCCAAATCTAGCTGCCCAAGGTGTTGTTAATGAAAATCCTCCTCCTTCAACTGCTGCAGTCTATACCGTGATGGTCTCCCACAATTGTGGGAAATAAGAGATTGGACTGTAATTGCAGCTGATGATGCTGTTATGTTGTTGCAATCGTCCTTCTTGGCAGAAGAGGTCACAGGAGAGGAAAGTACTGTCAGGGCAACACCGATGACTTTCTGCAATACGTTCTGTGCAGCTACAGATTGCTGGTGATCTAAGGAAACTTTACACAACACATTTCATCAACTGTTGTGTGTGCCTGAATGAAGGTGCCCTGATCGACAGCATCGATCAGTGATACTTGTAGTCATGAGGCTAGGAACAAGTAATTTACAGAAAACAGGTACAAACATTTGCAGCCATGTTCCACCCTTATGCAGCATGACCAAAAGGTTATAACAGTTGAGATTACAGTCAAGGACAGCTGAAACCTTGAACTAGTTCAAAAGGAAGTGTGCATGGTGAAAGCATACAAGTTTTGCCGCCAATCTGCACTGACGACAAAGTACAAGAACCAAGGAAACACCAACTACCTCACCTCCCACAAACCCACAAGTACCTCAACCTTCATAATCACATCCAACTGACCTGACAGATATCATCTCAGACACAGGATGAATTTTCCAGCGCGTTCTTCACTCAATCAGTGCAGATTATGATGTTTTTAAGGGGGTGGGAGAAGTCACTCACCATCATCTCAGTCCCACTCCCTTAGCTCTGCCTGGTGTTATGGCGGATCTAGATTGATTGCTCATCAATGCTGTGTCTTCCCAGTTATTGGTGCAGGACACAAACTGTCAGTCGGGGGAAGTAAACCATCTCCACCAACAGAAAAAAAATGACCCAGCACAAATATTTCTTGCTATTTTGAGTTCCATATAACCAACTCAGAGAATAATTTCAGTTCTAAGATTCTTTTCAAGATGTGATTTCAGAAGTCTTGAGCTTCATGTCAAATCACTAATTCCTCTTCCTATAAACCAGCTTCGCATCTTTGACGTGGTTACAACAATGAGTCTCTCATTGTCTGAAAAACAAAATTTAAACGTTTCTACATCAATAAATGAAAGTATGTGGAGGGTCACACTTACCAGCATCTTATGCTAGTTTACAGTCACCTGCACCTCAAAATCTGCAGAGACAGTTTGTTTGGGAAGTTGAACGGTCAGTCACTGATAGCGAACTGTAGGCACTAACTTCACTCAGTGACTGGACAGTGCAAAATGACCGAGCTCTGCACTGACATATATGCTTCCTTCACAAGGCGCACAAGCTACAATGCACATGGCAGTAAAACACACTGTTCAAAAGGGTGCTGCTGTCAGTTAGAAACACACATTATTCATGTACCTGACAGAACATTTAAAACTTGGCAACTATGGTATCACTATACCAGCACCTCCTAACACCAGATCTCCAGTCTCCATTTATTTTCCGCAATCTTCAGTAGTGGTTTCTCCAGGACACACACGCACCATGCTTGATGCCACTCCACATGCAATATTTTGCATAAACAAACAGAGACATCCAGTGATACCTCTCCAAACTATTTACCAGACATCTTCCTCAGATGTAATTCCCGATGCTGCTCTCCAAGATGCTCAAAAATGTTACCAGTAGAATCTACTCTGGTCAGCTTTGATCTCCATGCAGACTACTGTTTTCTTCCAAGCTGAGCTTTAAATCCCATATCCTTACCTCAATCACCAACTTATCACAGTGCTCTTCCTACAGCCTGTTAAGCTCCACCTATGTTCACTCAGCTCATTCAAAATCTAGCCATACACATCCTATCCTACACTCAACATTGTGAAGCAATAGAATGGCAGTCACCCAAACTACACGTGACAAGAACATGTTTCAGTGGGGAAGCATTTGGGAAGTGATCATAATGTCAAGTTTCAAATTGCTTTGAAAAAACAAAACAAACAAACAAACAATCAAGGCCAACTACAGTGGCTACTAAAGGGGTTGACGTGGATTGGAACCTAAGACCATTAGGCAAAAACTCGAACTGAACACTGACTAGCTTTTGTAAGAGTTATGGATTGGTATAGAATACATGGCCGAGAGAGAAATAAAAAAGTCATTGTGTATATTTAAGGGTGAAATAGATTCTGGATCAATAGGGTTATGGACAAAAAGCAGGAAAGTGGACACAAGGAGAGTCGTTTCTTTTTATTTTTCTAAAGAACTGATCACTGACTTCAGAAAGAAAAGAGAAGAACACGCCCCCATCTACATCAATGGAATGGAGGTTGAGAGGGTGAAGAGTATCAAGTTCTCAGAGTGACAACAGCTGACAATCTGTCTGGGACTTCTCATGTAGATGCGACAGTCAGGAAGGCACAAAAACGCCTCTTCTTCTTCAGGCAGCTCAGGAAATTTGGCATGTCCATAAGGTCCCTCATCTACAGACACACCATTGAAAGTATATTATCCAGGTGCATCACGGACTGGTATGGCGACTGCTCTGCCCAGGACTGTATGAAACTACAGAAGATGGTGTGCACAGCCCAGATCATCACAGAAGCCAACCTTCCATCCATGGACTTCATTTACACAGCTTGCTGCCGCAGAAAGGCTGTCAACATTAGAGACCCATTGCACCCCGGTAATGATCTCTTACAACCTCTTCCATCAAGCAGAAGATACAGAGGCCTGAATACATGTATCAGCAGATTCAGGGACAGCTTCTTCCTTCCCATTATCAGACTGACGAATGAACTCTCTAGCCTCAAATAACCGTGGTAGCAGCGCTACCATTGTGCCACCTGTTCCTACTTCTCATTGCTCTGTATGTTGCTTGACCAGGAGCTAACAAAGGTCAGCAAGCACAGGGTTGATAGCAGAACAGGACTTGCTGCAAGTTTAGACATGGGAGGCAACGTTTTGGATGACCGAATGTGGGAAACCAGCCAGAAATCCATTAGAATAGGTTTTATCAGATGAGCTGAAGCATAGTTGAAGTCAAGCAATGTTACGAAATGGAAATAGGTGGGCTTTAAGAGATTGCAGAGATGAGGTTGGAAGATCATCACAAAACAAAGTGGGACACCAAGGTTGTAGAGACTGGATTAATTGCCACCAGAGACAGGGATGGAATTGGAAGGAATGGAGCTTGATTAAGGGGTTCCCTTCTTGATATTTAAGGAACGGATACATCTGCTCATCCAGTATTGGATGTCAGATAAACAGTATGATCATTTCGCAACAGTGGTGGTGGCGGCAGGTAGACAGGTGTCATCAGTTTTCAAATGAATGCAAATGTTGTGCTTTTGGACAATATTGCCAAAGGGAAGCATGTAGATGAGAAACAAGAAAGGCAAGGATTTACCCTTGTGAGTCACCAGAGGTAACAGTGCTGGAACAGGAGAAGCCACTGCAAGATTCCTGGCTATGAACAGATTGAGAAGAATAAAACCAGGCAAAAGCATTTCCAATTAGCTGGATAATAGTGGAGAGGCATTGGAGATGACTATGTGGGTAACAGTGGTAAAGATACAGACAGGCATGAATAACAAAGAATGAAAGTTTACTTTTATCCCAGTCACCACCAGAGGTGATGTGACTTTAATAAGTTCTGTTTTGGTACTCAGTGCAAAAACCTGATCGGAGTGATTCAAATACGGCATTGCAGAAAAATTAGGAAAAGATTCAACAAGAACATGTTCAAGGATTCTGAAGAGGAAACTGAGGTTGAAAGGGGATGGTAGTATTTGGATAAGGACTGATTAGAGACAGTCGACATCGTTTTGTGCGTGGGAAATTGTGTCACACAAACTTGACTGAGTGTTTTGAAGTAACAAAGAGCACTGATGAAGACGGAGCAGTGGACGTGACTTATATGGACTTTAGTAAAGCATTCGACATGGTTCCTCATGGTAGACTGGTTAGCAAGGTTAGATCACATGGAATACAGGTAGAACTAGCTATTTTGGATACAAAACTGGCTTGAAGGTAGAATACAGAGGATGGTGGTGGAGGGTTGCTTTTCAGACTGAAGACCTGTTACCAGTGGTGTGCTACAAGGATTGGTGCTGGATCTATTGCTTTTCATAATTTATAAAGATGATGTGGATGTGAACATAGGAGGTATGGTTAGTAAGTCTGCAGATGACACCAAAATGGAGGTGTAGTAGACAGCGAAGAAGGTTACCTCAGAATACAACAGGACCTTGATCAGATGGGCCAATGGCCCAAGGAGTTGCAGATGTAGTTTAATTTCGATAAATGTGAGGTATTGCATTTTGGAAAGGCAAATCAGGGCAGGACTTGTACATTTAATGGCAAGGTTCTGGGGAGTTTTGCTGAACAAAGAGATCTTGGAGTGCAAGTTCATAGTTCCTTGAAAGCAGAGTCGCAGGTAGACAAGATAGTGAATGCGGCATTTGGTACGTTTGCATTCATTGGTCAGTGCATTGGGAGGTCATGTTGCAGCTGTAAAGGACATTGGTACGGCCATCATTGGAATACTGTGTGCAATTCTGGTCTCCTTGCTATAGGAAAAAATGTGGTGAAACTTGAAAGGGTTCAGAAAAGATTTACAAGGATATTGCCAGGGTTGGAGGGTTTGAGCTATAGGGAGAGCCTGAATAGACTGGGGCTATTTTCCCTGGACCATCGAAGACTGAGAGGTTTATAAAATCATGAGGAGCATGGATAGTGTAAATAGACAAGGTCTTTACCCCTGGGTGGGAGAATTGAAAACTAGAGAGCACAGGTTTAAGGTGAGAAGGGAAAGATTTGAAAGGGACCTAAGGGGCAACATTTTCACACAGAAGGTGGTACATGTGCAGAATGAGCTGCCAGAGGAAGGGGTGGAGGCTGGTACAATTACAACATTTAAAACGCATCTGGAGGGGTATATGAATAGGAAGAGTTTAGAGGGATATGGGCCAAATGGGACTAGATTAATTTAGGATATCTGGTCGGCGTGGACGAGTTTGACCAAAGAGTCCGTTTCAGTGCTGTATATCTCTGACTCTAGTTTCCACGGATTGAAGGGGCAAAGGTTGGTTTTATCGAATGGGGTAATAACAGCAGATTTGAAGCAGAGACGGCACAACAACTTAAGAGATCAGAGTCACTTGTGTGGAGAAAAGGATGCTGAAAATGGCATTCTAGATGGGATTCATCCCAGATTCATGAGGGAAATAAGGGTTAAAATTAAGAGGCTCTGCCCATGATCTTCCGATCCTTCGTTAGATATTGGCGTGTTAACAACCCAAACATTACATCCCTATTTAAAGAAGTCAAAACCTTCAGCTAAAGGTCAGTCAGCCTACTTTTGTTTGTGGGGAAGCATTCAACATCATAATCCAGAACAGAACACACACATGACCACCCCTTTCTACAAATCTATCATTTAGAAACATCAGTTTTCTGGACGTTTTTTGAGCGGACTGGAGTATTATTTCAGTGCGATGCTTAAGAAGCAGAAACATAGAAGAAACAGTACTTACATAATTTAACTTTTCTTTACTACTGCTTAAAGCTATAACACTGTTTTATGTTTCAGATAAATCTTTATATCCGAATGGTTTCCTGTTCACACACTTCTGTTTAGATATTCTGACATCATTTCATAATTACGAAAATTCTGGAATCCAGAAATGACTTGGTCTCCAGCATTCTGAGCTCGACAGGTTTTAGTGCAGGCTTATTAAAAGCAAATAATTCTTGACCAGCTCAATCGAATCTGCATTTGGACTGCTGTTCTCTCTGATACATATTAATGGCTTAAATTCTTCTTTCAAAGTACTCAAACTTCGGTCTATAGTTCACGAATAATTTGCAAACATCGTAAATAATGAGAAGCATTACCAGAGACTTCAGGAGGACACTGATGAGACATGGAAATACATGAAAAATTAAGTGTGTTGGTAGGAAGAAAGAGAGACAAGATTAACTAAATGACAAATTTGAAGGGAAGGTCACACAGGAACAGACAGACATGTACACAAATGTTCAGAGGCAAGTTCATGATATTGCTTTTAAATAAACCAAATCCTTAAGGTTGTATTCAAAGTAGGGCCATGGAAACTTTTACATCTGACCAATCAGCTATACAGTTCATCAGTCAACATCTGATCACAAAACCATTATCAGCACTCCTGGTGCATAACTTGGAAGCTATATCCTTCAAACTCTGAGTAAGACTGAACAAACGGCTCCCCCTTATCAACTCTGGCAGTTACTGTGTGCAACACAAACCACTAAGTTTTCGAAACCCTCAACAATACAGGCAGTAGGAAATAGGAAAACAGCAAAGTTTTGGAACACTGTGTTAATTACAAAGGTGTACTTTACAACAGCGGCTGTTCCAAAGACTATCGCATTGGGAGCTAAAAGCATATCCTGAGATTGTGAAAGAATATACAGAAATGAAATTTTAAAAAAAAAATCAGGCTGTTTGCCCTGGATGGTGTCAGGTTTCTTGAATATTATCAACCAGGCAAGTGGCAAGTATTCCATCACATTTTTAAACTAGTGCCTTTTAGATGGTGGACAAGGTATTGGGAGACAAAAGGTGAACATAGTACTTGCACAGACACATTGCAGGTCAATTTGCATTCTGGTCCCTTAGAAAGGGCATCATACCCAATCCCGAGACCTCTACACATTTCCAATACTGGTATCAATATTGGGGTCGAAGGAGTCTTTTGGGAATGGAATTTGACATTTGTGGAAATGGTGTTATGGATGGGAGGGCTAGGTATAGTGGAACAAGATGGGCTTTAGGCAGAACAGAGTTAGAGAATGGTTACTATACTGGAGATAGCAGTGGCTCTTAAAAAAACAAAAACAGAAACAGAGACTGCAGTTTGGCAGATTCTGTAAGAAGCAGCAGAGTTAACATTTCAACTCCAGTGACTCTTCAACAGTAAAGAATAATTCACTGAGTTCCACCTGGGAGCCTTTCCTCAATCCTGCAAATTTCTCTCTTCAGGTAATGATCCAGGTCTTTGCTTCAAAAGTCATGAATCCTTCACACTGTTTCTCCCCAGCCCTACACACACACACACACTCTCTCTCTCTCACCTGCTTCCACTGTGCACTCTCTCCCACGGTTCCACAATCTCTCTCCCCTTTTTCAGTCACTTCACCCCCAACAGTTCTCTCTGTTCCATACCTTCGGTCTTGTGCTCCCTCTCTGTCCCCCAACCCCATGCCCCCTCCCCTATAGGTACAGTTAAGCTCCATCTCTCTGGCCCCATCCTTGAGATGCAGTACCCCTCTCTGTGCCTACCCCCCTCGCCCAGATACAGGTATTTCCCCTGCTCTCTCTGGCTTCATCCTCGAGTGCAGTGCCCAAGACCCTCTCCACCCCCACCATGATACAGTCCTTTCCTGACTCTCCCCTCAGGGTGCAGTAGCATGGCCCTCTCCTTTCCTGGGGGTCCAGTACTCCCTGATCCCCACGGGCACAGTACCCTCTGTCTGTTCCCCCGATACCCCCAGGCACATTACTTTGTCTGTCTCGCCACCCCGGGGTACAGTGCTCTCCCTCTCTTCTCCTCCCCCCCAACCCCCAAAGGATGCAGTACTCTCTGTCTCTCCCCCAGGGGACTGTACCCTCCGTCTCCACACCCCCGCCTTCCCTCTAGGAGTCTGGTACCCTCTGTCTCCACACCCCCTTCCCCCTAGGAG